TAGGTGGAGTACAGGAGTTTATAACTTCATCGGCAGTATCTGTACTACTGGGCATTTTGCGCAAGCAGTTGATAACAATAACAATCAATAACAAGGTATAACAATAACAACGACAAACTCAACAACTTAATAAGATAACAAACGAAAACGTCCAAAGAAATATCAAATTGCAATGATGCACACGACATACGTAACACGTCTGAACCTGAATGTGACTCTGCCTTGATACGACTGCTCTGCCGCTCGGTATAGGCATTTAATTGCGAATTGACCAATGAGGGCTCCTGTTTTACGTCGAGACGGCGGCGTTAGCGTGAAAATCACCCGAACCTTTTGTTTACATCCGGTCTATCTCTTATCTGAATATACTGTAGATGTGTTGTGAATGTGCCGCTTTTGAGCATCTAAAACGCACGAAATACACTCAGCACAGTCACAACTTGTTTTGCTGGCAACATAAAGACTATACTTAAAGCATGTTGGACAACAATGTCAACGTTTTATCTTTGTTTTTGTTTACCTTTGTTAAAAGCTTATCTCTTGGTTTTTGTCAAGAAAGCAGTTTCCGAGAGCTGAGTAGTACAGATATTTTTAGTTATTGCCCTTTCATTTAGTGCATAACAAAATACCTCGACCTTGAACACGTCCAAGTTAGCAACTCTGACTGGGGTAGAATTATTGGGGCTGTTTTTTTTTTATATCAGTCACGTCCTCCACTTTAAATGTTAAACGCTTATTTTATTTTTTATTTAATTCTTGAATGTACTCCGTTCTGTTCCCGCTGTGTCCGCCTTTGTGTCCGCATCGTATGTCATTATCAGAAAATTGCATGTCGTATGCGGCTCATTGTTAGCAAACAATGCCCCCTGGTGATGATAAGACGTTCAGTTCACCCGCATGGTCGCTGATAACGCGACCGATCGTTTCGGTAGAAGACGTCGCCTCGAATGCCGTCAGTTGATCGCCGGATTACGGATACGGAATCGCTGAAAAGTAGACGGGATACAGCGCAAAAACAGCCAAAATGAAGAAAAGTGTGGTTAGAAGGTGCGGACAGTGTTGCAGTAAGTTGTCGAAAAATTGCTAGCATCACCACTGCATAGAATACGACGGTTGTTTCATTAAATAATAGAAACGCGCTAACCGAACCAGAAGGTAGAAAATAATTTTTAATTATAAAGAGTTCATATTCCAGTAGTAATGACCTCAAAATAAAATTATAATAAAATTTAAGTTATTAACAGAATAATTTAATCTAGAATAAAAGCGTGGGGTGCATTTTACTATATTTTCATAACTCTCCTATCATAGATAGTTGCTGAAAGAATGATTGTAACATTAAGAGTGGATGTCACCAGGATTGTCAAAATTTAAAGAAATGTTCGATTTTTTAATAAAATTCATGTTTTTATTTAATATTGTCGATTGTTTATTCATGTTTATAAAGGGTTGTCCAATAGGGACGCAGGAAAGTAAACGTCAATTTGACATAGACGCCATCTTTATTATCTGTCACCGACATGTCATTTTGTTAGTTGAATATTTACCATCGATCGCTATGGAGTCGTGTTCGATTGAAGACCGCATTAAAGTTATTCAAGAGCACTACAAAAATGGTGCAAAATAAAAAACACGTTTCGCGCGCTTCGTGAACATTTCGGTCGCAACAACCGCCCAAACGAAACAACCATCGGTCGTCTGGTGCGTAAATTCGAGGCAACAGGTTCTGTGGCAAATCTGCCAGGCTCTGGCCGGCCAAGGAGCGTTCGCACACCGGAAAATATTGCTGTTGTGAAGGAGAGTGTGAGAGACGATCCGAAACAATCAACAACGCGTCGATCCCAAGAATTGGGCATTTCGAGAACCAGTTTGCTCCGCATTCTCCACAAGGATCTGAATGTACACGCCTACAAGATCCAATTGACGCAAGAGCTGCGACCATTTTTCGCGCCGAACGTTCTCAGATTGGCTCCTTGAACACCGCCAAATGGATGCCAATTTTTCATCAAAAATCATGTTCAGCGACGAAGCGCATTTCACTTTGAATGGGACGGTAAACAAGCAAAACTGCCGCATCTGGGAGAACGAAAATCCCCGTGAGTATCAAGAGCAGCCGATGCATTCTCAAAAAGTGACTGTGTGGTGTGCATTGTGGTCAAAAGGCATCATCGGACCTTACTTTTTCAAAAATACGACCGGGGACGCCGTTACCGTCAATTCTGAGCGATATCACGTGATGATAGAGGACTATTTTTTGCCGCAACTTGAAGGAATGGATATGGACGATGTTTATTTCCAACAAGACGATGCAACATGCCACACAACCAACGTCAATATCCATCGATTGCAGTCCTCCTTCGGTGATCGCGTGATTTCGCGCAGAGGAAATGTGCCATGGCCACCAAGATCGTGCGATTTGACTCCCTTGGACTTCTTTTTATGGGGATATTTGAAAAGCAAAGTCTACGTCAACAAACCAGCCACCCTCCAAGAACTCAAAAACAACATCATTGCCGAGATAAATGCCATAGAACCGACCATGTTGCAAAATGTCATTGAAAATTTCGACCATCGCGTGGACGTCTGTAAATCCAGTCGTGGTGAACATTTGAGCGATATTATTTTTCATACATAAATGGTATAAATGAACCTTCAAAATAAAGTACCCAACTTGATTTGAATATCGATCTTTCTTGTTTTAATATGCGTTTACTTTCCTGCGTCAACCCCATATTATTTATTGATTTTTTTTCGTATTCCGTTTTCGAACTGCGCAGGAAGTGCGAAGTCAACCTTCTCGACGCCATCTCTTCCGAGACGTACATGACCTCATTCCGTCGAAGATTTCACTAAAGCCGATCATCCCAATTCATATTCTTCTGCATACGGTGATATCACTCGTGTATATGTGTAATACATATGAATTTAAATGAAAAGTTTAAATATTTAAAAGCAGACACATCGAGCCACACCGCGGCAGTCATGAGTCACGAACGCGTTATTGAAAGGCGAAGCACGGTCACTTTGCGCGGATGTAGTTCCAAGTGTGTTGCACTCTCTTCACGTACGTATTCTTCTGCACGTTAATTACGCAGTAATCCATGCTTAATTCGGTTATGGTTCATTTCACGATTTTTGACAAGTCACACTTAAACTGCCGGCATCACTTTTATACATCTCACTCATATATGCAATCTGCGCGAACCTTTGTGTAAGTTTAGACATAACGTATGTTGTAGCTTCTTTTGGCAAAACCTAAAAATTTTTATTTAAACGTATGGGTACTCACGATTCTATAACTCGAGAAGATACTGACCTGCTACTTTTTCTTTTATATTTGTGCCAAGAAATGTCAACAACTATAAAAATCGCTGCATGTACAGCCTTGAGGGTTGGTATCTCATTCCTAAAGAAGAATGAATGTACGGTTCGCCTTAACGCCATTTTGCTATCGTCATCCAATTTAACGGCCTTTCGTCCCTTCAAATTAAACTTTGGATCAGTAGTAGCTCCAGTTTTCTTCTTTTCATGCACCACCCTGCGAATGGTCCACTCTGGAACGCCTGTCATACTTTCACAACGCGCGATTGCATCTCCCTGCGACATGGTTCTGTTCAGATAATTGAACACGTTGAGCACGATTTCTTTCGCGTCCCACTTCAGTGCTTTACGAAGCCGTCTACTTGTTCCCTGGCTTTCAGTACTTCCACTCGTGCCATTTGTACTCTCCATGGTTAAGTATAACCAAAACAGTAACCACAGAAACCACAACAATAACAATCACACAACAATTCTTATAAAAACACACAATATGCGATCGCTCAACGAAACACGTTCCAATGCGTTGCCGACGCCTATGAGTCTGCCGGTCGAGGCGCGTCTTAGATTTCATGGGTTCTACCGGCGGAGAACAATCAGCCATTATTTCCATCTCTGTCTGTGCTGTCGACCACCGCAAAGCCACAGAAACGACATATGTCGTACGCTATACGGCTGTACTGGAAGGAAGCCGGGATCGAGCTCTGATCACGTGTTGATCACGCGTATGAGTCATTACAGTTTTAAATAGTTGTAGTATAGGAGATACAATCATAACAACATCTCCATCTCTTTAAAGGTCATCGCCGGGATGTGGTTGATGTTTCTGTTCGACAATAGAGGGCGTGCGAAATGGTCGACGCAGGGATGGCCGCGGAACAGGAATTGTTTCGTTATAGAATTGTCGTTGTGAGTTTAAAACTCGTAATTTTTTGTAATATCCGTCGACCTTAAATACGAGAGCTGAACGTGACTCGGGGCTACTTTCGGTGCTCTCGTGTTGCAGCCACAACCTTCGTTAGTGAAATAATTTCACACCCGGTGCTGCGTATTTGCCGGGTTGCGGAGGTTTTGATATAAATCGGCCTGCACTATCGCAGCCTGTTTCTCACAAACAGCAGGCAAACATGAAACACAAAAGTGGCAATAAAAGGTAAAAAAGTTAATAAAACCAAAGCTAAAATTCAGACGAACAATAAATCGAAGCTAAATGCAATAAAAATTATGTGAGACGAAAACAATTGAGCTTTAGGAAGTTTTGACGTCAAAGAAAGATAGTAGATAGTAGCAAGCATTTCATGGCTTTGCCAAATTGGTCAACATCGGGATATTTTTTTTTATTTGTAGAATTTTAACCGGTGGTAGTAACACCTTTCTTCTAATGTTGTAATTATTCTTTTGAGTGAGTTTTAACATGAAGCAAGCATAGATGTATACACAAGACAATTTAACGAAATTCATGAATGCGTAATCCGAGAATTCTTTTCTTTCAAACTGAACCAGCAAAGAATTGATAAACCAGCAACGTGTGTTCGGGCTCTTAGTCTTATCTCATATTTTTTCGATGGTGTCTTACCCACATTCAAATTGTAAGTATTCCTAAGCATGTTAGCTATTTATATCGCTTAAATGAGCTACTGATAGTGATTGAACACTGCAGTATTGTAGTTGCATTGATGTTAGTCATAGTGTCAACGTTGTTCTATCACCAATTTTGGATTTATTTGAATGTTTCGTGCAACACCAATCTCTCGATGTTAACCTGATGAGTAATGATTGTAAGCTTGTATATGTTGTCCTCGGCTTATCAGTGCAAAGATAAAATTTGATTTGAATATTTACGTCAGTAGATGAGTTTATTTTACAGAAAGATGAGATACAAATAAACCTATTCCCATTTAGACATTTTCGTACCACCAAAAGTATGGTCCAGCATACGAAAAGTTTCCAAATATAATCTTTTTGAATGGATATCTAAAAAAAGATCACATGGAAGCTTCTACAAAATTAATTTGATTGGTGAATACTAGCTACTAATTTTTCACTGCACTGATAAATCAGAATATTATATTTATCGGTGATACGATGGTGATCTAAATGTTTTTTTTTATTTTTCTAGAAGTCAGACAAGAGGCGGTGCAGCAAGCTTTGGCTCAAGCGATGCAGAACAGACACAAACCTTCAATGCCGATGCCATCGAAGAGAACGTCTGTGATGGCGAGAAGTCCTGATAGGGATAGGCATGACTCCGGTAAGATTTTTTAATCCTAATATTCCGAGTATTGAAGGTGCAGACTGGGATCTGCATGTTGATCGTCAAAATTGACGGATTCTCCTCTTCATCCCACAACGTCAGTGCAGGTGTTCCCCAGGGATCGGCCAATACCAAAAATTCATCGAATTGAGGTCAGGAGATCTTGCTAGCCATTTTCCAGGATCAGGAGCATTTCGATCCAGCGATTTGGATAATGTTCATTCAAACATTGTAAAAAAACACGTACGACGTACGCGAACAAAAACAAAACACGCCCGATGCCCGATAACTGTTACCGTTTGCGATCGATTGCCGGTTCGATAATAGTGATGACGACGCGCTGGTGCCATGTGTTTTTTAAATATATAATGAAATTTACTTACTGACTTCAAATTTTGGCTAAAAATTAGTAAGATTGTGGTGATTGTCGTTGATATAAAGCATTTAAAGTTGTAAACTATTTTTATTTAAACAAAAATCTATTGACTTTTGGACCATGGGTCATATGAACTTTTTGACTTGCTTTGACGTCTCCTATTACCCATTTCACCATAATGTATACATATTTCATAATGTTTGGAATAAATTTTTGATACAAAGTCTAATATCGTCACTGTTCCAGACTCTCAAGGCAAAATATACATATTTCCTCACCCTCTTTTATTAATTCTCGTACGTACAGTGTACAGACTTTAATCCCTCAGGGTGTTGCATATTTATTATATGCTGATTTCTCCGTCTTATCTGCATTCTTATTATCCGCCAGGAATAGCAATTTCTCGGTGCGCGCAATAAGTAAAATAAAGTATATCTACGCTAAAAATACGATCCAGGACGTGTATTCATGGCGGAAGTCATCAAGATCTTAGTGAATTTTGTATGTTGGAAAAATGAAACACAGGCAGGAGGAAAGATCACGATTGCTGAAATCTTCTGCTAGTGGTAGCTGGTATTCCGCCAATTGACAGTTTTTTTCGAAGGTGCCGGATCCGTAAGGTATCTGGAAGAGTCGCGAAAGAACTGGAGCAAGCTCCACTGCACACCCTAATTTTTACATCGTGCTGGTCTTTGGCATTGCGAATCGCTTCGTTAACTTGTTTCTAGACTCGACGTCGGCTTGTCCGTTCTCTATAGTGGGGCTTCGTAAGAGGGTACTGTGTGCCTTGATAACCTGTGTCGCACAATTTGTTGAACCAGCCGTTGGACTTGTACCGTACGAGGAATGTATTCCTGAATCCCAACGTGGATAATTTCGGTTATTGTTGAATGATGATCTCATTTTGGTTGATCGGGTGATTAAGACATCTAATGAGTCGTCGACTCTACTACTTGTTCAGCTGACTGACGGCTTGATTGGCTGCCAAATTCACGGTATGATTGATCCACTGTGACATACAGGGTGTCCGCAAAGTTGGGGTTTTCCTTTACACGACGCGTAGATCTTGAAAACATAAGCAATTTTTCTTAGTACCATATACACCAATGCCTTAAGGGAACCGAGATAAAGGGCTCTGCAACATCAAAAATATCTGAATACCGTCCTGTAGCCGCGACATCACCGACTGGTACAAGACTGGTACTAGACAGCAAGAGTGCGGTTTTGTGAGTGGTTGTTGCATCAACATGACAATAATCCCGGACTTTTTGAAGTGCATATTGGTGACAGACGAATCTACGTTCACGCGTAATGGGGTGAATAACTTTCGCAACACTCATGTTTGGTCAGTAGAAAATCCGCACGCTGTCCGCCGGGCACATTTTCAACAAACATTTTCGGTGAATGTTTGGGATGGCATGGTGAACGGTATGCTCATTGGATCATTTATTCTCCCAAATCGATTGGACGGGATGCAATACCTAGACTTTTTACGCAACATTTTGCCTTCCTTGTTAGAAGATGTACCATTAAGTGTAAGACAATCAATGTGGTTTCTGCGTCTGCTCGGTAGCGCATCGGCTGATTTCATTTTCTGTTGGAGCGGTATGATTTCGGGCAGAGACGTACTTAGCCCTTCTCGTCAACTGGAGAGTGAGTACTTTTTCCTTTATTTTTTTTATTTGGTCGCCCTCGTTTCACTACACATTTCCTTTGTTATTTCAAGGGTAGTTGTTTCTGAAAAGGAAAACCCCAACTTTGCGGACACCCTGTATTGGTAGATGGATCGATTACCTAGTTGGTTAACGAATAATTGGTTTCCACATTGATCGATTCTTTTCGTGTTTTCAGCCGAATCCTCATCCGACGAAGACAGCCTGGCGACTGAAGACCCGTTGGTGGGAGGAGCGCCGGAAGGCGGGGGCGGTACCCCGGATCGACCCTCCCGCCACGGAGGCGGCGCCTTCCCCCCTCCACCACCCTCGGACACCAGCAGCGCAGGATCGCCGCCGCCCCCTCTGCCGGCCGCCCATCGGCCGCAAAGGACGCAAAGGGAACATTGGACCAGGGAGGGGATCACCGATATATCGCACAACTACAGACCATGTGAGTTTACTTAGCCATTTTTTTACAGATCCTCAATAACAACTTTCTAATAAACAGTTTTCTATGTAAACGATTATTTTATTGTTAAAATTCCCAGTCACTAAAAGATTCTAGATATCTGAACAACAGCTTTGGATATGGTCCTGAGTTTTACCAGATTTACACTATATTCATTATTGCCAACCTTACAGACTAATACAAAGGTGCCACTTCCTGATCAGCTGTTCACCTCAGTAGACGTCACAACGTAACGGATGCCCTTGAAATAGGCTGTACGCAAATAAAACGTTGCTACTATTTTCAGATTCGCAACCTCCCGACGTAACCCACACCACATCGACGCCATCTATGAGCGTCGGGCTGCGACCGTCGGCCGTATTAAATCAACGACCCGCCGCAGCAGATCGCGTAAATAGGTACGGCGGCGGCGGTACGGGGGATACGGGAGACGGAAGCAGTACCGGCGGTACCGGAAGATGGAAGGTGTCCGCGAAGATCCAACAGTTGCTCAATACGCTCAAGAGGCCGAAGAGGAGACCGTTGCCGGAATTCTATGAGGATGACGACATTGAGCTGGAGATCGCGGCGAATCCGAAGGACCCCAATGCGCCGAAACCAGAAGGTTTGTGTTTTGTTTTCTGCGAAAATGAGATATTATGTTTTTTTAATGTTATGTGACATGAAAGAGCTTGCGCCTGCGCTCTTACTCAAGGCTCAATCTTGTCGAATTATTTCATTTTGTGGCCACTAGATCGTGTTTTATGGATGTGTCACTGTTTTCAAATCTGGGCGCAATATTGAAGAAGCTTTTGGTAACATATAAAGAAGAATTATTGCTTACACTCGAGCCATTTTGTTATGCGTAAGACTAGTAAATGAAAGAGCAACAAAATATAGTCATTATGTTGCTTAGAATCAAGTTGAAGACATTATTTTTCTGGATGTAACACTACTAATGTCACTGAGTATATTAACACAATTTCTATAACTTTTATTCATCTTTTTAAAACAGCATACTCAACAATAATGTTTCTAAGAATTAATTATGATAGAACACATTATTTCATTAAAAGAGTTGCTTTTAATCTACAGACCAATGCAATATTTACATATACATCGTATTTAATTTTCTTGATTTCAATTTCAGGTAGTTGTATGAGTCCAGCCGTAGGAGAACAATTAGTGATTCCCTCAGGACTACCTAGGAGTCTTGAAGCAGCTATTACTAGATACGGAAATGCCACGTTTAAGGCTTCAGTCGCCACGGTGCTAGATCCAAATGGAAAATTATCAACTACATTAACATACGGTAGGTACATTCTCAACAACAACCGTAACATGTATTTTGCCTACGCTTCATTTTTATCTGAAAGTTGGTAAAATACGTGTGCCATTTACCTTTTTTTCAAATCCGATTTATAAACATACAGCCCGGTATACCTACATAATGTTTTGTTTAAAATTTTGCTTAGCTTGACACAGAATATATGCCAATTTTAAGAGCACCCCATATAAAATTTATTTTGTTTTTCAGGTAAATTATTAAGTAGATCGCACAAAATAGCGTACGCACTGCTAACGAAGTCGTTCAGTAAAAACGGCGACACTAGTTTAAAATCAGGTGATAGAGTGGCTCTAGTCTACCCCAACAACGATCCAATCAATTTTCTGTGTGCTTTCTACGGATGCTTGCAAGCTGGAATTGTCCCCGTTCCTATAGAGGTAAGATACCAACCATCAAATTAATGTAAAATTAAGTCTCTTTAGATGACGGAAAACCTCATTTCAACACAAGGATTACACTGGACAACAAATTTTAGTTTTTTAATTGTATCTTATGGGAAAAGTGCACTTCTTTGTTAATTTTGGGGCGCTGAATCCAAAAATGACAATGAAATAAAAAAATTAGTTGCGGTTTAAAAAATTTTTTTTATTTTTAAGGATATATTAAAAAAAGTAACAAGATTCATATACTTATAAGAATCACTATATGCGCTGTCTTTTTGCTGTTCTTTTATGGATCGTTTCTGGAGCATCTCTACCAAGAGTCCAACAGTAGTCTGCAAGCATGGATGGATTCCACTTTCCCTGGTACCCTTTTTGCATTGTTGAAATATCCTGATGAGAACGTTCGCCGTGCTCATCACTTACAGCTCCGCAATTGTCAGGAAAAAAGTCCAGGTGTGAGTGTAGGAAATGTATCTTAAGAGACATATTACAGCCCATCTTTTGATACGATGACAGCATATTTTTGACAAGGGTTTTATAGTTGTCAGCTTTTCTATTTCCCAAGAAATTAGTGACCACCAGACGGAAATCATTCCAAGCAGTTTTTTCAATACCTGTTAAAGTGTTTTCAAACTGTGTATCTTACAAAATATTTCGAACCTGTGGCCCAACAAAAATACCTTCTTTAACCTTTGCCTCACTTAGTCTTGGAAATTTCTGACGCAGGTATTGAAAAGCTGACCCATCTCTATCTAATGCCTTGACAAAGTTTTTCATTAGGCCCAACTTGATATGCAGTGGTGGTAATAATTTTTTTTTCGAATCTACTAATGGCATATGCTGTACATTTTTTTGACCTGGCTCTAGGAATTGACGAACAGGCCAGTTTTGTCTGGTGTAATGAAGTGCCTTTGTCCGACTGTCCCATTCACCCAAAAAACAGCAAAACTTTGTGTAGCCTAGCTGCAGCCCAAGTAAAAGTGCAACAACTTTCAAATCGCCACAAATATGCCATTGGTGCTCATCGTATTTTATGCATGTCAATAGGTACTTCATATTGTCATATGATTCTTTCATGTGAACTGCATACCCTACAGGAAGAGATGGTAAAATATTTCCAATATGCAATAACACTGCCTTTAAACTCAATGTTGAACTGTCTATAAACAATCTCCATTCTTCTGGGTTATAGTTTATATTTAAAGCCGCCAGTAAGCCGTTAATGTTACTGCAGAAAACCAAGTTATTCTCCATATTGAAAAATGGTTCTAAGTCTTTGTGGCGTTTACGAGACGTGCTCGGTATAAAATCAGGATCTCTTGACGTTGATGGCATATCTTCTTCCTAACGAATCACTCGATCGCCATGATCTGATTCGTTTCCTGATTCGCAAGTGTAGGATTCTGGGGGTTTTGGAATAGGATTTTCGTCACTGTGAGGCACAGGTCTCATCGCAGATGGTATGTTTGGGTAGTTAATAACCGATTTTTTTTTTCTTGGACATACCTGTGGCTTGTCCATCACAAGGTACCATGCAAAAGTAACAATCATTAATATGATTTGTAGGCTCTCTCCCAACCATTGGGACAGCAAAGCGCATAGACCGTTTTTTGCCATTTAACCAGCTCCTCAGACTTGAAGCACATGTATTACAGCAGATGTGGGGTGCCCACTGTTTGTCTTGATCACCTAGTTTACAACCGAAATAAAGCTGATATGCCTTTGTTATTAGTGGAGTAATAGACCGTCTCTGAGACGCAAAAGTCACATCACCACACACGTAACAAAACTGATCTGGATTGTTTATACACTTTCGAGACATCTTGCATGAACGCTGTCAGCCAACTGAGGAAAAAATGGCTAATATAAAACAATATAATGTACACGTTTGTATAACGTAACACAATCATGCCGATTACATCATCTTTCCTTGCCGAAAATAAAAATGTCGCACGCGCATTCTTTCTCTAGTATATTAACACTGTCACAAGAGGAACACATATAATTACCGTATCTCTAAAACTTGAACTGATATTGAAAAAATAAGTTTCATTCCGGTTTTAGCACATTAAAAATAGTAATATTTTGTTGATTTTATTTAGGATATTTTTTGGCTGTTGATCAGTGTTATCAATAAAACTTCTAGGAATAGTACTAAACACCGAGCTAGCGACATTTCTTTCGAATTTGTCAAATAGGAAGCAGTTTGCAGGCTCTGACGGCACCGCCTCTGACCTATCTGCAACGGGGTACCGCAAGGATCAGTACTTGGCCCCCTGCCATTTCTGATATATATCAATGACCTGCGAGTATTTATAACGGATCCTGCTTCCTATTTGCAGGCGATACCACCTTGCTGTCTAGACCTGACCAAAACACGGGTGTGGGTGAGATGTGAACCAGCAAAACTTCTAGAAATAGTGCCCGATACCAGACTAAACTGAACAGTGGTAGTAAAATCTGAATGTACCCAATCTCTTCGTATGAATCATTTTGTACATCGTATAGGCTTAACATTGATTATTATTTTTAGGTTCCGATAACAAGGCGAGATGCAGGTTCTCTCCAAATAGGTTTTCTATTAGGCAGTTGTGCTGTGCAAGTGGCTTTAACATCGGAGGCTTGTCTTAAAGGTTTACCTAAAACGACATCCGGCGAAGTGATACAATTCAAAGGGTGGCCGAAACTGACTTGGTTCGTTACGGAACATCTTGCGAAAACGCCCAAAGATTGGCTACCTACACCAAGGTAACTCTTTCAAAATAGCTTTCAACACATTTTTAAACTCTGAAGTTCCTCATCTGTGTTCATCTTAGTTTTATACGCTGAACATACCATTTCGCCCCAAAAAATCACGCAACATCTTGAAAAACGATCGGTATGCACTCGCTAAGCATCGGTAGCATTCCGAAGACCCTCACCTTAAATTGAAATAATAACAACACCGATATTGCTGTAAGAGTGTGCCATTTTTCTAATACCATTTTGCATTAAAATCTTTTAATTTTTCCACAGACTGACAGACGAGACGCCAGCATACATAGAATACAGCACGGATCGCGATGGTTCCGTGATGGGTGTGACCATAACCAGAGCTGCCATGGTGCAGCATTGTAGGATGCTGACGATGGCGTGCAACTATACGGAAGGCGAGAATATGGTCTGCGTTCTAGACTTCAAACGAGAGGTATGTATTTTAGCTTCACACAAAAATTATGTCGCCGTCATCATACGAAGCCGTTTCTCGATATGTATATCTGCAAATATCTGATATTTTACAATAATCTAAAATATCACAAATTTCATTAATGCAGAAAATAAATAGTGGTGGTCCCAGTTTACTACCTTGAGGTGCACCAAACAAAATATTTTTTGAGCTAGACAATGTAGAGTCAATTTTGTTTTTTTTGACTTCTGTCTGTAGTTTTATAGAATTTTGAATACAGATTCTTTAAATCCATAGATATGGAAATGAAAGATATAAAAAACATTATAATATTAACCACTCATCTACCGACAAAAACTGTCCATCGTACAAATATTATCAGGAACAACAAAACTTAAGGATACTTTTTTAAAATTCAAGTTCATCTTTTACTACTCCTATCTCTAAAGAGGACCTAAAAATGTCAGTAAATAAATCATTAATGATTTCCGAATTCCAAGTATTGCAACAAATATAGCAAAAAACGTCGATGAACTTAATTTATGTACATAAAATTCTGATGCAAAATTTCGAATTTTTAATATGAACATAAGGAGTATAAAACACAACATTGATTACTTAAAAATACTACTCGACCAAATATGGTACAATTTTGATCTAATAGTTTTAACTGAAACGTGACAAGTGGTTGATATTTCTTGCTTCAATCAGCAGGGATATGACACGCTGTATAACTTTGGCACTTATAACCAAAACGATGGGGTGATAGTTTTTGTAAGAAATACACTGCAATATAATCATGATACATTCACTTTCACCGATGGAATCAAAATTTTAAACATAATGATCCAAATTAACCATAACAAAATTGAGGTATCTGCAATTTATCGTCCGCCATGTTCAGAACCCCACGAGTTTTTAAAGAATATCGATTTTTTTTCAAAATCAAAATAAAGTTCATTTAAAGCAACATATTTTCTTGGGAGATGTCAATATAAATATTTTGGACGATGATCCCATCACAAATGAATACTTGAATATCCTATCAAGTAACGGATTTCTGTCCTATATAAACCTACCTACAAGGTCCATCAGTGGCACATGTATAGATCTCACTGCTTTGTGAAAGACCTATCCAACAAAATTACTTGTATACCAATAATCCTAGAAAGCGATATTACTGACCACTTCTCCACTATTTTACTGATATCTTCAAATGAAAAACATTCTAACATCCCTATCGTTAATAACAACCAGGAAAATTTCAAATTTTTTGTCGACAATTCAAAACTAATATCAAATGTCAAACAAGAATCCTGGGAACAATTATACTCTATAAATAATATAGACAAAGCAACGGGACTGTTCATAGAGAAAATAAAAAACTATTAGATATTAGTACCAATAAAGTAATAATTAGTCACAAAGAGAAAAGCAGAAATGCCTGGATTACCAAAGGATTAATAACATCGGCAATAGAAAAAGAAAGACTATATAATATAATGAAACTAACGCCAACTACAGAGAATACCGACTGCTACAACCAATATAAAAATAAATTTATAGAGCTTGTAAGGCAAACCAAACGAAAACATTACCTAAATAAATTGAATAATAACTTAAATGATCCTAAGCGGCTTTGGACAACTATTGATGAGATTACTGGCAAAACAAAATTTAAAGAGTGTGTCACTGAGTTAAATACAACATCGGGAACAGTATTAAAAAGTACTCAACAGATATGCGATGAATTTGTACAATTCTTTACTGACATAGGAGAAAATTTAGCAAGTAATATACAAGCAAATGTACAAAATACTCAGCCTCCAAAAAGAACTTTGAACTCATTTGTTTTGGATAAAGTCGAGCAATGTGAAGTATACACCACTGTTATGTCCTTAAAAAATCGGAAAAGTCTTGGGTTCGATGGTATTAAAAGCTAGCATTTGAAAATTATAGCCGAGGACATAACAGAACCACTCACTTACCTAATCAACAAATGCTTTGAATCTGGCATATATCCCTCAATTTTAAAAAAAGGTAATATAATACCGATACATAAATCAGGAACAAAAACAGATGTTAACAAGTATAGACCAATATCAATAATATCCAGTGTAGCAAAGGTTTTTGAAAAAGTTTTATCTACTAGAATGATTCGATACCTCACAAAATTCAAAATTTTAAGTGAAAATCAATATGGATTTACATTTACATCGGACGCAATAACTAAAATTGTAAATCAAATACATCAAAATATTGATAACAGAATCCCTTCAATCTGCATTTTTGTTGATTTAAAGAAAGCTTTCGACACAGTTAATCACAAATTATTATTAGAAGCATTGGAGAGAATTGGTTTCAGAGGAAACGCGTACTCACTGATCGAAAGTTATTTGTCAAATCGCCCACAATCTGTGCAGATATCAGGATCATTTAGTGAAGAAATGTATATTAAGTGTGGTGTCCCACAAGGAACTGTCTTAGGTCCGCTGTTATTCAATATATATTTAAATGATATTTTCCAAATTAATTGTGTTGGCAAAATAACTAGTTTTGCAGATGATACTGCAATATTATATGAAGGCACTGACTGGTCTGATCTGAAAAATGTAATTGAAAATGATTTTATCAAAATTATTCGGTGGTTTAACAGTAGAAAATTAAGCATTAACTACTCTAAAACACATTTTTTACCATTTGGATCTTATGCTAGACATCTGCCAAATTACACAAATTTCTCCTTCAATATTAATGATCAAAAAATGCAAATTAATAGAGTGCCCAACATAAAATACCTTGGAGTGGTCTTAGATCCTCACTTACGATGGGACATCCATGTCAATTATATTTTAAAGAAAGTTAGATTTGTATCCTACAAAATTAAATACCTTGGGAATATATTGACAGAAAAATATCTTCGAACATTATACCATGCACTGATTGAGCCTCATCTCACATATGGTATATTAGCATGGGGAGCTGCATGTTCCTCAGATATCTATAATTTAGATGTTTTTCAAAAAAGTATTCTAAAAATGATATTTAAAAAACCGAAACTTTATCCCACTGAAAAATTATACGCAGATGTTCGAATGTATGATATAAGACAGCTTTACTTCTTACACAGTATCACTCACTACCATAAATTTGTAAACACCGACCAAAAAATTAAACATAGTCATTATACCAGGTACAAAATTCGTGGCACAGTAGTTCCTCAACCGCATAAATCTATAATGCAGCGATCATATCTCTATTTAGCGCCTAAATTTTATGAAATTATACCTAAAGACTTAAAAGATTTACGTTTCGGAAATTGTTTCAAAAGAAATTTAAAAAAGTCGCTACATTCTATATCTAGGACTGAAATTCATAAACTCATAAATACGAACATCAACTAAATACATAATCTACTGTAGCTGATTTTTGTCCTTTTTTGTCATTTGCATTCTACAGTTTCAACTTAAAAATTATTGGTCCATGTACAGGCGATGCCTTCTATTGGGCCTGTTTTGATTTTATATTTATTTACTCATGTTGTTTGCTATCTTTGTACATTGAGTGAATAAATATTATTATTATTATTATATTTTGTAATTAATTTATTCCGGTCATTAGTTTCAAACTCCGTACAAAAACACTGTCACTGTATGGTTCCCATCGTCCATACATCTCCTCTAGTCCTCTAAAACCATTTGTATTACCATTTCAGTTGAGTGTTTCTTCCTAAATCCAGCTTGAAATTTGATTAAAATTCTATTTCCTTGGATGAGTTCGATGATCTGTTCATAGCCAATCATTTTCACTACCAGTAATTCCAAACGTTTTACAAGTAGAGTCTAGTTTTAATTTAGAATCCTTGAGTGTCTGTGTGTGAGTGTTTTTGTGGTTTTTTCTTTTTTAAATTGTTATCTTGACTGTAGCTTATTTCATGCAAACTTCAACACTATTGCATAGTAGCCATCAACATCAATAAAAATTTCAATCACATCTTTCTTACTAATTTGATTATACTGTTATTAGATTTATTTCTGGATTTTCTCTATTGCCAATTTCTCCTAATTCTCTGATTTATTGAATGATTATTTCCAGGTGGGCCTGTGGCACTCGGTCCTCACCAGCGTGCTGAACGGCATGCACGTCATCTACATTCCTTACGCTCTGATGAAAGTGAACCCGGCCAGCTGGATGCAAATGATCACAAAGCATCGCGCATGCGTGGCCGTGGTCAAATCCAGGGACCTACATTGGGGACTATTAGCCACGAAGGACCACAAGGACGTCAACTTGGGCTCGCTCAGGATGCTTTTGGTGGCGGACGGTGCGAATCCGTGGTCGTTGTCCTCCTGTGATCAATTCTTATCAGTATTCCAGTCTAAGGGTGAGTTTACTCAGGGTCGTAACTCCTTTATTAAAAGTTAAAGTTGGAAAAGACATTTTTTCGAATAGAGATGTAATAAGATGAAATATACAATTAATATTTTTGACAGGTCTCCGGGCAGATGCGATATGCCCATGTGCCAGTAGTAGTGAAGTAATGACGGTATCTGTGCGAAGACCGGGTAGGGGCGGTGTAAACGCGACAGGCAGGGGCGTACTGTCGATGCAAGGGCTCAGTTATGGGGTAGTTAGAGTGGATCAAGAGAACAGCCTCACGTCGCTTACGTTGCAAGATTGCGGACAAGTTATGCCAGGTAAGCAAAAAAGCAAGATAAAACATCACAGAAACTTTGGTGCGTAGCGCGATATATTTTGTATATAATTTAAGTTTTTGACTGCATCAATGAAGAAAATAAAAATAGCTCACTGATCAAGGGAACATAAAACGACGCTAAAAGTAACTGAAACCCATTGCCCTTTTCAATTCGATAGATTTATTCACTCTACAGTGTTTTTCCAAGGGGCATTTTAGAACCCATATTTTCTGATTAGGACATACTTTCAGCTACTGTCTTTTGTAGTATTAAGGGTTCTGAGATACCGTACTAAAAATCAAAGTTATAAAAATGGAAAATTGTATTTCAAGTATGATGTTTTCAATTTATACTATATTTTGTTTTACAGGATGTGTGATAGTAGTTGTAAAAATGGAAGGCCCAGCGTACCTGTGCAAAACGGACGAAGTGGGCGAGATCTGTGTAAATTCAGGGGCGACAGGCACCCAATATTGGGGCCTACAGGGCCTAAGTAACACCACCTTCCACGTTCAACCTTTAGGGTCGGACGGCAAACCTATCTCAGACGCCGAATATACGCGGTCTGGCCTCTTAGGATTTCTAGGTATGTATAAACAGAAAATATCATTTGAACCGCATTTAAATTTTTAGACCACAATAGAAATCTTGCCATATGAAGTTTCTTTGGGAAAAATTCCATTTCACCCTTAATTGACCTTGGCCTTAATCTCCCTTATGTTACCATTTGACCCTGAATTGACCTTGACCTTTCTTAAGGTCCCATATGCTTCCATTTGACCCTTAATTAATCCTGAGTATTCTCAAGCTCCTTATGTTGTTTCCATTTGACCCTAGATTGACCTTTCTCAACCTCCCCTGTTTCCATTTAAGTTTGAATTGTCCTTTACCTTTTTTATCTCCCTTATGCTTCCATTTGACCTTTATTGACCTTGACCATTCTTAACCTCGATATGAGCCTGAATTGACCTTGACTTTTCTTAACCTCCAATATGTTTCCATTTAAGCCTGAATTGACCTTGACCTTTCTTAACCTCCCATGTTTCCATTTGAGCCTAATTTGACATTGACCTTTCTTAACCTCCCATGTTTCCATTTGAGCCTAATTTCACCTTGACCTTTCTTAAAATCCCACGTGCCTTCATTTTACCCTTTATTAACCTTGATCATTATTTACCTCCATACGTTTCCATTTGACTCTCAATTGACCTTGACCTTTCTTAACTCCCTAGTTCCCATTTGAGTCTAAGTTGAACTTAACGTCCCATATGTTTCCATTTGACCCTGAATTGACCTTTTTAAGCTCCCACATTTGACAGTTAATTGACCTTGACCTTTCTTAACCCCCATGTTTCCATTTGACCCTGAATTAACCTTGACGATTCTTAACCTCCATATCTTTTCATTTGAGCCTGAATTGACATTGTGCTCAACCTGTACAATCGTTTCAGGACCTGGAGGCTTGGTGTTCGTATGCGGTTCCAGGGATGGACTGATGACGGTAACCGGAAGGAAGCACAACGCGGATGACATCATCGCTACAGTGTTAGCGGTGGAGCCGATGAAGTTCATTTATAGAGGAAGGATAGCAGTGTTTTGTATAAAAGTACTCAGGGACGAAAGGATATGCGTGATTGCCGAGCAGAGGCCTGATTGTAGTGAAGAAGAGGTGAGGTTTCAGATTTATCGGATATATAAAAAATCATTCTATTTGCCTAACGATAGGTTCTAAACCAGTCCCTAGATTAAACTCGTATTTATCGACATAATAAAATGGAAATCAAGGCATAAAGAATATATTTACTAGTATATTCTCCAGCTACGCTCGCGTGGTAGTAATATAAAGTACACGCCATTTGTTTTGCATTAGGGTGAAGCAGATTGGTTTAGGAGAAATAAATGATGCAATAGTCACTTTGACAATGAACATTTTTTAACCAACATTTCAATGCATCAGTAACTTAATTTAAATAATTTGCTTTTATATATCTTAATGAAGACTTTTGCATGTGTAACAAGAGTTTTAGTACAAATACAATACTTTTATTTCCAGTCATTCCAATGGATGTCGCGCGTGTTGCAAGCCGTCGACAGCATCCACCAAGTGGGCATCTATTGTCTGGCGCTGGTGCCCCCTAACTACCTGCCGAAGACCCCCTTAGGGGGCATTCATCTGTCAGAAACGAAACGACGCTTCCTGGAAGGCACCTTGCATCCCGCCAACGTGCTTATGTGCCCCCATACGTGTGTGACGAACTTGCCCAAACCCCGAGAGGTGCATTCTGGTAAGCCACATTTTTTTAATTTTTTTAAGAATTATTATATATATATATATAACAACAAGTAGGAAAAGTAGGAAAATAATGGGCAAAATCCGCAAAAAGGAGGAAAGTGGATTCGAGCAGAAAATAGGATAGGTAACCCGAGCGATACGTATTTCTGCTGGTTGGCTTCATCAGGCCCGAAATGAATGCACATATGAAACTACAAAAGTAGATACACATGCCCACACATCCGGATACGGGTGTAACCTGAGGAAACGAAGTTGGAGGGGGAATATATATATATATATATATATATATATATATATATATATATTTCATTTTTATGTCGATATAGTTGAAGTATTAATTTGTGTATAGGGGGCCTCAAAGTTGGGACTTTGCTTCACAGAGCATACAGGTCAGGAAATAAGAAGCATGGTTGTAGTAACATATACAGGGTGTCCAAGATAAGGATCATATGGGAGATACAGGTTAGGTTGAATTAGCAAAAATCAGTTGAGAAAAAACTAAAATTTAAGCAAATCGTTTTATTTTTTCTGACTTTATTTCAAGAAATATCAAAATACTAATGAATCTTTTTCGTTTGCACTTTTTAGGCACTACATGATGGTGTTTTTGAATTTTGTGCGAGACCTTTCGTTTATGAGAAACCATCTTTATTTTTTATATGATACGAAAAAAGTACATCCTGTACCTGATAGCATCAGAATTCACCAATGTTACATTTGTATCCTTAGTTATAAAAAAAATGTGTTTTTTATTATTTCGTTTTATTTAAGCAGGCATTGCAAACAAAAAAAATATTTTCATTTTATTCACATAGGTGTTCGAATAGGTTGTCACCATTTTCTAAACATATTTATGATCTTCTAACAGTAGATCTCGAAACATATATTTCTGCAGTATTTTTAGTATTTTTGTATCGCAAAATGTAGCACATCAGCATGTGGAACTTTTCTTCATTGCTAAAATGATCGCCTTGCATCTTTGACGATATTAAAGCAATATTAACAATACACAATAATAACAATACTCGGTGACAGGTATTTTCGTCAAATCAAGCATTTTTTTGCATCGCCTACTTAAAAAAAAGAAAAACTACAAAAAACGCAATGAAAAAGTCTCATTAGTTTTCTGATATTTCTTGAGACAAAGTCACAAAAAAAATAAAAACGATTTGGCCAAATTTTAGTTTTTCCCAAATATCTCGATAAGGGTCTTGGAGAACTTCGAATTTCGCTGTATTTTCACTTGAAACTTAAATGGGGTAGTCCGATAGATCATTTTAAATGAAAAAAAGTGTGGATGAAGCACGCTTGTCTAGAACATTTTTTTCTCAAAACACTGTATTTTAAGCAGTTATTTTCACCATTATTTCCACCGCCATCTGCCATATGACGATACTACTGTTTTTACTTTGTTTTTGTTATCACTCAGAATAGCTTTCTATTTTTTGTTTTTTATAATTACATGGTATTGTTTTTTTTTTCTCAACCACTGTTTTTATTTTTTGTTTTTTATGATTATTTACAATTTATTGTGTGTTAGCTTACTACTGCTATTTTTTGTTTTATACTTATTAAGAACCGCTTTTTATTTGGCTATTGTTGTTTGCTTCAGTTTTTCCTTTTTTGTGTTTCATTGATTAATATAAATATACCCACATATATAGATTTTCCACTTTTCATTTTCCCCAAATGCGGAGCCCAATCCGGCAACACCGCAGGCAAGTGGCTCTCATATATGACATATACGCGCAGACGTCAACGTCGTCATATGGCAGATGGCGGTGTAAATAATGGCTGCTAAAAATACGTCTTTTGGGAAAAAAATTCATGAAAAGCGTGCTTCATCCACACTACCCTCTAGAAGTTTCAAGTGAAAAAACAGTGAAATCCGAAGTTCTAAAAGACAGTCAATAAGCCATGAAATTTTTACAAGTTTCTCAACAGCATGTAAATATGCCCCAAAAACAACTTGCTCCTTATCTTGTACACCTTGTATACTATATATGCAGACTTAGTTGGCTACAGCGCCATCTATGGGACACTAGCATTTTCAAGCTGGATTCCTAATTACTATGAAGAGAAGAAACATAGCTGCGACAAGTTTTATCATAGATGTCGCTACGGTATCTAATTTCATTTAGGAAAATGTTTTGGATGCGGGAATATAGTATTAAGTTGGCTATCTTCAAGAAGAATACGTTAATCGATGTAGGCTCTTTTCGTTAAAAAAAAAAAGTAAATCGACGATGTTCTATTAAACTAATTGACGATATCACGGTCACGTTTTGAAGATACTTTTATTACGTATAACTATATTTGAATCTACAATTTCAGATATCCTGCACTATACACTTGAAATAATCTATTCAATCGAAAAATGGTCGATTCTAGCATTGTCTATTTCCACAAAACCTGAACATCTGAGGAAAATATAAATTACAAAAATGCACATGCACAAACATTATATCAATAAAACTCACCCACCGATACACCTTTTTTCACATGAATCTGCAGGATCTTCTGTAACTGCTCACACAACGATCAGCGTCAGTTCATAAAACAACGCACACGACGATTTCGAATGTTTTCAACGCGATCGTGCATCAATCCAAAACCGATACGCGTTTCCGCAGACTATCTAATTCGATACAACGTAAAATCGCTTATGAATTGCTTAGAAATACTCAAAATCGTTTCAAAATTCGAGCAAAACACGCACCGACGCGAAAATTGAAAATGGACTGGCCCGCACAAAAACAATTGGACGAATGCGAATGTCAGATTCGGCCACAGCCAACTGAGATCCAGTACTCGGAAATTGTGATCGCTGAATCGGTGCAGCCAGCGCGTCGCGTCGTTCTTGATTGTTATAGTCCGGGCATCTTAGGCAACGATCAGCTGGAAAATAATATTGAAATGATATTTCAGGAAATGAATTGTATGGAAATATTGGGATGTTCTAATTGAATAGACACTTTTGGGTACTGTTGCGTCTTGCAGAACTTCTGATTTCACCATTTTTTCACTTGAAACTTCTAGAGGGTAGTCTGATAGATTATTTTGAATAAAAAAAAGTGTGGATGAAGCACGCTTTTCATGCATTTTTCCCAAAGCACATATTTTTAGCAGTTATTTGTACCATTATTTACCTGCTATCTGCCATATGACGACGTAGACGTCAGTGCGTATGTCATTTATGAGAGACGCTTGCCTACGGTGTTGCCGGATTGGGCTCCGCATTTAGGGAAAATGAAAAGTGGAAAACCTATATACAACAAACAACAATAGCAAAATAAAAAACGGTTCTTATTTGTATAAAACAAAAAATAACAATAGTAAACTGAAACACAATAAACTATAAATAATTATAAAAACAACAAATAAGTAACAGTAAAATGAATAGCTATTCTAAGTGATAACAAAAAGTAAAAACAGTAGTAAAATGAAAAACAATTCCAAGTAATTATAAAAAAATTGCTTTTTATTTTACTGTTTGTTATTTGTTTTTTATATTTTTTTTTGTTTTACTGCTGTTTTTATTTTTTATAAGTATTGACAATTTATTGTTTTTTAGCTTACTATCGTTATTTTTTGTTTTATACTTCTTAAGAATCGTTCTTTATTTTGCTACTGTTGTTTGTTTCAGTTTTTCGTATTTGTGTTTCATTAATTAATATATAACTTTTCTACTTTCCATATTTTTCCATAAATTCGCAGCCCAATCCGGCAACACCGCAGGCAAGCGCCTCTTATACATGACATATGCACAGACATCAACGTCATATGGCAGATGGCGGTGGAAATAACGGTGAAAATAACTGCTAAAAATACAGTGTTTTTGGAAAAAACTGTTCTAGACAAGCGTGCTTCATCCACACTTGTTTTCATTTAAAATAATCTATCAGACTACCCTCTTTAAGTTTCAAGTGAAAAAACAGTAAAATTCGAAGATTTACAAAACGCAACAGTACCCACTTTTGTTTTCATACGGACTGAGAAAGAAGCATGGATAAAAACGTACGATCGACGGAATCAATGCGGTGCAGCCAGCATGCTGTATTGTTATAGTCCAAGCATTTTAGTCAATGATATGCTGAAAAATAAATTGATAAATTTTAGTAAATAAATTGTATGATGTATGGTGAGTTTCTAGATGAATATGCACATCTTCTAACCTAATACATGTGTAATTTATACTAATAAACACACTTGATTTGATATTGTTTGAGACGAAAATCATCACTAAAAATCTGCTTTTTTCACTTTTATATCATTTTGTAACACATTACAAAAAATTGCATGCATCACAATTCCATGACATATTTTAAAATGTATATATCGAGCTGAAAATATTGATAATTTTAATTTTAAGCCATTTCTCATGATTTTCTTCTGACGTATGATTTTTTATAAATGTGCTAACAAATCTGTTCTTATCGGATTATTGATTTGTTGCATTTTGGGATGTATTACGAGCTCTGGAAATATATTTTCCATGGGATTGTGTCATAATACAGGGTGTAAAACTATCGGTAGAGTTCCGATAAACATGATGTATTGAAAATATCATTCTGGAATCGAAAAAAATGACTTCTCTGGGGTGCCAAAAAGGTAACGACTTGGTTTTTTTTTTACATGAATAACAAATAGCATGATGTTTCCGTACACGAGTCTAGGTGCTTAGATTCCGAATTTGATGTCAATTTAGTGCTAGTCATCCATACCACATACAGCGTGTTCAACCTCTCCTGCCCCGGGATTATGAGCCCCGAGTTGCTTTTTGTCGCACAATGTTAGAAAGACACAGAAAAGATCCACAGTTCTTTGAAAAAATTTTATGGTCGGATGAGACCACATTTAAGAAAGATGGGTACATGAACCTGCATAACTTACACGAGTGGCACGTAGCAAACCCACATTTGATGAGAGAAGATAAATCTCAATATCGCTTCAAGATAAACCGTTGGACAGGAATTTTAAATGGTAAAATAATCGGTCCGTTTGAGTTCCCAGAGACTTTGACTGCTGAAGTTTATTTGGATTTTTTGAAAAATCATGTACAAAATTTATTGGTGGACGTGCCACTGAGTATTTACAGGGACATGTGGTTTCAGCATGATGGCTGCCCAGCGCACTATGCACTCTCAGTGAGAGAGTGTCTCGATCAAAACTTTCCAGGCAGATGGATAAGGCGGTCTGGTACAATACCGTGGCCAGCCCGATCACCTGATTTGAATCCTTTAGATTTTTTTACTGGGGAGCTGTAAAAGAAAAAGTGTATTTCAAGCCGATTCAAAATGTAGCTGAGCTACGGCAAAGACTATTGGAAGCAGCTGAGTTTGTTAATAACGTGGATTCGCTCGTTTAATAACCCGATCTTTTTTAAGAAGATTTCGAGCGTGTATTGCGGCTTAAGGAAAACAGTTTGAGCATTTGCTGTAAAGGTAAATCATCATCAGCAGCATTTTGACGCCCACTGTTGTGCAAACAGTTATCCTTAAGGGTCCTTGTGCGTTTTCATAATCGCTGTTTAATTAGGAAATTTAGAAAAATTTTCATCAGTTTTTATTCAAATAAAAATTGTGCATAAGTTAACGAGTAATCTTCTAAGTGTTATACCATTTTGGAATCGTTATTAAATGCGCCAACTTTTAAGGTTACTTGCCAAACTCTCGTAGTACATTTTTTCCAGTACAGCCAGTTAAAGTTGAGCAAAGTTTTACTTTGGAATACTTGGTTGGGAAATAAGTGGCAATTTTTCCTGAACGAGAAAAGTTGGCAGTAAGGTTGAGACACCATGCATTATTCATCATTACATTGTAAAAATAAAATCCAAAAAAAGTTAATATTTGTAGTAACAGGAGTTGACAGACTGCCGTAGGGTGTGAAATTTCTATATATTTTTCAAAGACCTATAATTTTCAAAACACATACATAAAATATTTTTCTGATAGCTGTTATGACTTTGCCTATCACCCGGTTTCGGCTTGACGTCGACTTCTGGGACACCCTGTATATATATATACTCGTATTTCTGGTCGAGAATTCTTGCTACTACGTATCTGCAGAATCTCTATAAGAATCACTGTACATATTTAATAGCATACTGTACATATTATAAAATTATGTATATTGGTCACATCGCACATATTATTAGGCTTCTTGGAGCGACAGCATGCTCATATATATGTAGAAAAATAACTGTCACTACAATTTTCACAAATCACAAATACTCACATGATCAGTACCAGTATTTAGACTGTCAAATACTCAACTAGTCACGGGGTACTGTAGATGTGGAGTTCAACATTCTAATTTTGTAACCTCGCTTGCTTCTATCAGAGGCTGCCAGTTATATTTTCTTCCATATACAGCACTTATTCTCACCCCCTCCTTCACTCTCCTACTTGTTTTTTGACATTTTGACAGAGTCAAGTTAGCAAGATGAAATTTCGGTTATAAAATCCATGCATAATTACTATATCTTGATAATAATTTTCAAAAAGGTATCATACGTTCCCTCAGTCAATTTAAAAGATATCACAAGATGGCGTCCAGCCGCCATGTTGAAATTTTCAACTGTTATTTTTATGATTTCCTTTTTGCAAATTTCAGCTTTTTAGCTTGACCCATTCTGAAAAGAACTGTATATGTGTGATATTAGCATTCCAATCGTTCATTGTACGGCAGGGGTTTTACGTAACACGAAAAGTGGCGTTATGTCTTTTTTTAACATTACGTCGGATTTTTATGACGTTATATAAGTTTTCCAACAAGACGTCAATTTGTAACTACCCTATTTCACGAGTATCTATCACTCTTTGACATCTACCGAGGTGAACAGCTGATCAGCAGGTGACGTTTTTGCGTTAGTCTGCAACGTTGGCAATAATGGATCGGGTATAAATCTAGTAACACTTTTTTGTGGCGTTTTGTTTTTTGTATGCAAACGAACTTTTGACAAAAAGAATCTGTAGCGTACAAACAACCGAAACAAAATTCGGCTGTCCATCTGACGTTGACGGATCCGTCAGAATTATGTGTCCTGTGCCGATATGGGGAATTTCGAGATATTACTAGCTAAGCTGCTGTCATTCTGTCGTGATCGATACTCGCGAAATATTGTATAGCTATCGTTCACTACGAGGGTTATCCCAAAAATAGGGTTGCCAATACTTACGTAATAACCCTGCGGGTCGATTTGACTGTCGTTAACTAAAAAATGGCGCACCCACAATTCCACTCGCTTCGAATCGTATTGCACAAATAAATAACAAAATCTGTCGATCGAATATTTGATGTTTGTAATAATAACATTCTGCTTTTGGCTTCTTGCGATGCTACAACATAACCTGTGCGTTCCTTGTGCGTGTTTCAGCAAGCGACTGTGTTTCAGACGTGGGCCCGGCGTCTGTCATCGTAGGAAATTTGGTGCAAGGCAACCGGTTGGCCAGCGCGCAAGGCCGGGAAATAGGCGGATTGATGGAAGAAGGAGCCGGTGATGGAGACTCGTCCAAAAAGGTAAGAAGTACATATTTGTGACATTATGTTGGTTTTTCTACAAGATATCAAGCTGTTGTTCGCTTGGTGAGCACTCCTTTCGTGGCTATACGGGTTGCCTAAACGTCGTGATGCTTCAGCCTTCAATGTTTGGATATGATGTGATGTAGTTTTTTTTTGGATCTAGTTCCCCTTTTGCAATCTACTCTTTGGATCGTGTTTTTATTTTGGGCATATAATGGTGTATCCAAGTTTCATCTACAGTAAAAAGGCTGAAACTTTGGTGACTAACTGTCAACAGATGAACAACGAAATCCACTAGCTTTTATTTACAAGTGCTGCCATCTCACGTTGAAGTCGGAAACGATTATAACCCGTTCGTTTTCAGCAACAGTTCATCGCCGAAATCCTCCGCTGGCGCGCCCAAGGTACCTCAGACCACGTCCTCTTCACGCTTCTGAACAGCAAGGGCGCGGTGGCCAAGGCTCTAACCTGCTCGGAGCTCCACAAAAGGGCTGAACGCATCGGCAGCCTTCTAGTGGAAAAAGGCAGAGTTAATACCGGTGATCACGTGGCGCTGATCTTCCCTCCCGGGTTGGATCTGGTGTGCGCTTTTTACGGATGTTTGTATGTAGGCGTGGTGCCCGTCACTATCAGGCCTCCGCATCCGCAAAATTTGCAAACCACGCTGCCGACTGTTAGGTGAGTAATTTGCATTTCAAAAACAAAATAATACCATGGATGCTTTTGTATTACTCCAACAGTTATACTCGATAAACAGATTTGAATAGCTTTTTCGCGACTTTTGCAATGCTTTTGACTGTGTAAATTGTAAAATTAGCAAGACATTATATTTCAAATAAATACCGGGTGAATCTCCAAGTTGGCTCACCCCTATAGCTTTTTTATTATTGAAGATAGAAAATCGAAATTTTGGGGTTGCGTATTATAGATGAATTTACATTTTTGACATATTTACGTAGAATAGTTATAGTAGTATAGTTATTTTATATAGAAAAGAATATGTATATCAGCCTTTTAACTCGTTAGGAGGAAGTATCATCGATATTTCTTTGGGAAGTCGGTAAAAGTTTTGCAAAGTACACTCTTTTAACTTAAAACTCGAGCTTTCGATGGTCTATGGCATCATCATCATGAACTAAAAACAAAATTTTTGAAATAGCAGCTATGAGCAATTAGGAGATCTTTCATTACTTACTAAGTCGGCGAAATTGTTGCTGAAATTGTTTTTTAGACGAAAGTGAATGAGACCACATAGTAAACGAAGAAAAAACTGGATACCATAGCTATGTTTTCCAAAAAACCACTAACGGACTTAGTATCAAGAGATAGATGTTCAAATCGATTTATTTCATTTGTAGTAATATCTGTTTTATCTATATTATTATTAGTCCAAATTTAATTTCAATTTTTTTGGGTTGAGATGGCTTAGGAATAAATTTCTTATATTTTAGTAATTTATTCTCCATATTTTTACATATTTCGATCGAGAATGACAACGCCTCACTTGTCAATATTTGACAAGTAGAGCATTTTTATTTCAATTTTTATTTTTCGATCTAGAACGCCATGGATCCTGAAAATCGCTTCATTTTTGATCAAGTAACGCGGGAAAAATGCCATTTTGAGTCATTTTAAGAATTTTCTAAAAGTACGTCAAAGCAAATGAATATGTTAAAAAATTTAAATTCATCTATACTGCGACCCTTCAAATTTAGTTTTTCTATTTTCAATAATAAAAGAGTTATAGGGGTGATCTACCTTGGAGAATCACCCTGTATAAACACAGGGGTACCTCAAGGATCAGCATTAGGTCCGAGCCTATTCTTAGTCTATATCAATGATTTAATAAACTTAACCATAAATTTAAAATCGTAGGTTTTGCTGACCATACCACAATACAAATATTGAGAGCGATATACTATCAATCGTGAAATGTTGGGACAGCACTAACTTGACCTGTAGAAGCCTGTGCGAACATTATCTGGTGTAAGATTGATAGATAGTATATTAATGCTCAACATTTATTTATAGGATGATAGTGGATGTTTCGAAATCCGTACTGGTGCTTTCAACGCAGGCTGTGATCAAGCTTCTTCGTTCTAAAGAGGCTAGTAATGTAGTTGATATTAAATCATGGCCACTCATATTGGACACTGACGACATGCCCAAGAAAAACTGCCCATGGCATACAGGTTAGTTTAAATTCATTTTGATAAACTATCAATTAACTTACTATGCAAGATGTCCAACCCTATGCTGGGTTTTGACGTTCGTATACAATATCCTTCGTTGCATCTATGATTTCAAGTAGAATCGTAGTGATTCCCTTAGAAGTAATACAAACAGTCTCCATTTCACTTTAAAAGAAAATTGTTTATTATTAAGCATGACATCAGCCTTTCAAAAAAAGATCCCCATCTTAGAGGCAGTTTATAGATGGAAACAAAATTTTAGTGGAAACACGAAAAAAATATTCCACAGAAATAGCCTTCCAGTTGGTTACTGAGAGTTTGAGAAGAGCTATAGACTCAGAAGAAGTTGTCATCGCAATATTTTTGAATTTGAAAACGGTATTTGATGCCATCGATATTTTGTAATCAAAAATATTTTTTTACGTTGCTTTTATACTTTTTACTAGTTTTGTTGTCAATACGGAGTATACCGCGCGACTATGTTGATATGAATTTTCAACTTGGTCTCCTTATACTTCGATAATCATCAACATCTCGGAAAAACTAAAAGCCTTTTTGTAGCATATTGTATTCTCTACAAAAAAGATATTAAAGGTTTATATTCTTAGATTCATAGCTTAGTCATTATAAAATGTACGTTTACCCTTAAATTTCTCGTAAGCTGTTGACTATACGACAATTTTTTATGGAAGTAAAATGATGCATAATTTAATTCCCTACATAATTGATCCTATTACTTTTTTACATAACAAGGATGATTTTCGAGATTTTCGACCAAATGCGGTTATCAAAATTGCGACAATGTTCCAGCCCTTATCATGATGCCAGTCTGAACTCTTCATTAAAAAGCAAGAATCTAACGACACCACCAAAAGAATATCTATTGCAAAAATTGTGAAATTTTCTTATTCAAAATTTTATACGACACCATAACGGTGTAAATATCAACAGTTTGTAGTCGATGAAATGAAAATGAATGAATAATAATATATAGCGATTTATAATTATTTGCAACGATTAATTTCAGTATGTTAATAATGAGTGATTCTCGTTGAATATGTATGAAGTGTATAAAGTGTTGTAGTTGATAGATTTTCACCTAAGATTTGTTTATAAACCGTTCTGTTAGTATGGTAGCTACTGCCTATTGAGGATCATTGGTTCTAAGCCACCTAGTACTTTCACCGTCCTGGTGTTGTAGTTGTACAACTGAAGTTCAATTTTTTATAATAATAATAATAAACGACTTTTATTTACCGCTAAGATTAGTTACTCTCCCGTAATTGACAAGGCTGACTTCTCATGGAATCTAGTACCTTTCCAATGTTTCTTGGTCTGCGTACGTCAGTAGTGTTCACTGGGTTCAATCTGGTATTTTTTATATAAATGAAGTTTTGGAACTTGTTCTAAAATGGTTAGCATCTGACGAACTTGAATTAAATACTAAAAAGCAAAACGAAAGCTATGTTAATTGGAAAAAACAGTGTACAAACTAAATATTGATGGTGAAGATACTGAATAAGTTAATCAACAGTACGACAATTACGGTTTCTGTCAGATTGCGATTTTTAGAAATCCACTGGCATATTTTTAATATTCCTCTGGATACAAACGAGAATTGTGTTGCAGGGCACCGACGGCAGAGATGTTGGCCTACCTAGACTTCAGCGTTTCTACCACCGGCATGTTAGCTGGCATCAAAATGTCTCATGCAGCTGTGACGAATCTTTGTAAAAGTATGAAGCTAGCCTGTGAATTATACCCTAGCAGGCACATAGCGCTGTGCTTGGATCCGTACTGCGGACTTGGGTTTGCTTTATGGTGAGTAAAAAATATTTTCGTACGTTACTGGGCGAGAAATTACTGCAACATTCTAAAATTAGATATATAGCATTTTTAGTAACTAAAAACTTTACATCAAAAATGTTTTTGACATGTGTGTTTGATCCCATAATCGCACTTTTCTGATTCCAGGTGTTTAAGCAGCATATACTCAGGCCACCACTCGATATTAATACCCCCTTCGGAGGTCGAAGTCAACCCGGGTCTTTGGCTGAGCGCCGTGAGCCAATACAAAGTCCGTGACACGTTCTGCTCGTACGGGGTGATGGAACTGTGCACCAAGGGCCTGGGTTCTTCTGTCAACCAGCTGAAATCACGCGGTATCAACCTGGCTTGCGTCAGGACTTGTGTCGTTGTGGCAGAGGAAAGGCCAAGAATCAACCTCACCACGAGTTTCTCGAAGTTGTTCAGCGCGATAGGGCTCAGTCCTAGAGCGGTGTCGACGTCGTTCGGATGCAGGGTCAACGTTGCTATATGTTTACAGGTAAGAACCTAACATTCGTTTCAAAACTTTTCCGGGTCGATTTTTTTTTTCGTGAAAAATTATGATCGGATGGGTGTTGTAATTATTTATTATTAGTCAAAGACGTCCTACCAGTAAGAAGCTTCTGATCGTGGTAACAACGAGAACATTAAATGATAAAAGTTCCATGTATGATGTGCGAGTAATACGAAATAACTCGACAAAACGAAAAAAAAATAGGATAAACCTAACCAAGAAAGTGGGATATACCTAACGAAAAAAAAGTAGGACAAACAACGAACAAAAGTGGGATAAACCTAACGAAAAAAAGTGGGACAGATCTAAAGAAGCTACTGGTACATTTGAGCTACTGGGCATTTGAGCTTCTCGTCATTTGAACTGTTGTGTATTAGAACTACTGTGTATTAGAACTACTGTGTATTAGAACTACTGTGTATTAGAACTACTGTGCATTAGAAAAAATGTGCATTAGTAATAATGTGCATTAGAACTACTGTTCATTAGAACTACTGTGCGACAGAACTACTGTGCATTAGAACTAATGTGCGTTAGAACTACTGTGCGTTAGAACTAATGTTCATTAGAACTATTGTGCATTAGAACTAGTGTATTAGAGCTATTGGGCATTTGAACTACTGGTACATTTGAGCTACTGGACATTTGAGCTTCTCGTCATTTGAACTGTTGTGTATTAGAACTACTGTTCATCAGAACTACTGTGTATTAGAACTACTGTGCATCAGGGCTATTTTGCATTTGAACTACTGGTACATTTGAACCAAACTAAAAGGGGTGAGACATACATAACGGAAAAAGTGGAACAAACCTAACGAAAAATAGAGAAAGAAACCTAACCAAGAAAGTGGAATATACCTAACGAAAAAAAGTGGGACAAACATAACGAACAAAAGGGGGATAACCTAACGAAAAAAAGTGGGACAGACCTAAAGAAACTAATGGTACATTTGAGCTACTGGACATTTGAGCTTCTCGTCTCTTGATCTGTTGTGTATTAGAACTACTGTTCATCAGAACTACTGTGTATTAGAACTACTGTGCATCAGGGCTATTTTGCATTTGAACTACTGGTACATTTGAACCACACTAAAAGGGGTGAGACAAACATAACGGAAAAAGTGGAACAAACCTAACGAAAAATAGTGAAAGAAACCTAACCAAGAAAGTGGGATATACCTAACGAAAAAAAGTGGGACAAACATAACGAACAAAAGTGGGATAACCTAACGAAAAAAAGTGGGACAGACCTAAAGAAACTAATGGTACATTTGAGCTCCTGGGCATTTGGGCTTCTCGTCATTTGAACTGTTGTGTATTGGAACTACTGCGTGTTAGAACTACTGTGCATTATAACCAATGTGCATTAGAACTACTGTTTATTAGAACTTATGTGTACTAGAACTACTGTGCATTAGAACCACTGTGCATTTGAACTATTGGGCATTTGAACTACTGGTACATTTGACCTGCTGGTACATTTGAGGTACTGAACATTTGAGCTTTTTGTCGTTTGAATGATTGTGTATTAGAACTAACGTGCATTAGAATTACTGTGCATGGGAACTACTGTGTATTAGAACTACTGTGCATAATAACTACTGGGTATTAAAACTATTGGGCATTTGAACTACTGGTACATTTGAGCTACTGGACATTTGAACTGTTGTGTATTAGAACTACTGTTCATCAGAACTACTGTGTATTAGAACTACTGTGCGTTATATCTAATGTGCATTAGAACTACTGTGTATTAGAGCTATTGGTCATTTGAACTACTGGTACATTTGAACCAAACCAAAAGGGGTGAAACAAACCTAACGAAAAAAGTGGTACAAACCTAACGAAAAAAAGTGGAACAAACCTAACGAGAAATAGTGAAAGAAACCTAACGAAAAATAGTGAAAGAAACCTAACCAAGAAAGTGGGATATACCTAACGAAAAAAAGTGGGACAAACATAACAACAAAAGTGGGATAAAGCTAACGAAAAAACTGGGTCAGACCTAAAGAAACTAATGGTACATTTGAGCTACTGGGCATTTGAGCTTATCGTCATTTGAACTGCTGTGTATTAGAACTACTGTGTGTCAGAACTAATGTGCATTAGAACTACTGTGTATTAGAACTACTGTGCATTATCACCAATGTGCATTAGAACCATCGTGTATTAGAACTATTGTGCATTTGAACTATTGTGCATTTGAACTACTGGTACATTTGACCTACTGGTACATTTGAGCTTCTCGTCATTTGAACGGTTGTGTATTAGAACTACTGTGCATTAGATCTACTGTGCATGGGAACTACTGTGCATTAGAACTGTCTATTAAAACTATTGGGCATTTGAACTACTGGTACATTTGAACCAAATCAAAAGGGGTGAAACAAACATAACGGAAAAAGGTGGGACAAACCTAACGAAAAAAGTGGAACAAACCTAACGAAAAATAGTGAAAGAAAGTAATTTTGTTTTCTTCAATCAGTTCAATGATATGTTCGTATATTTGTATATATCTAGTAATATTGAACTTCTGGCACAGGAGTAATGGTGGAACACTTTAATTTTGATGCGAATTCACCATGTACCAAACAATGATTCACCAATAATAATGATTTCTCCCCAATTAAGAGTATATTGAAACAATCATTTAGAATCTTTTTCGAGAGAATCTCACTTGCATTTGTATTAGATTTCAATTCTGATATAGCTTTCCTTAGATAGATAAAATATTGTCGAAAGTATCATTGTGATCGAAACGTGTACATTAAAGAAGAATTCTAGTTACGTGTGGTTTCATTTCAGGGGGCCTCAAGTCCTGAGCCCTCGTCGGTCTACGTAGACCTCCGAGCGCTGAGAAACGACCGGGTGAGTCTTGTAGAACGGGGCAGTCCTCACAGTCTGTGCCTGATGGAAAGCGGAAAACTCCTTCCTGGCGTAAAAGTGATCATCGCAAATCCCGAGACGAAAGGGCAGTGTGGGGATTCCCACTTGGGAGAAATCTGGGTGCAGAGTGGACATAATGCTAGCGGGTACTTCACTATCTACGGGGACGAGAGCGAGTATGGGGATCATTTCAATGCCAGATTGGTCACAGGTAGGTGTTTTTTCGATATCTCTTGTTTCTTAGTTCCCGTGCTTCTAGGATTAATTAGCAAAGATCATGTGGGAAGCTCCTTATACTATAGAAGTCGTTCCTACAATTGTAGGACGCCTTATGGACTCCTTGATTTACATAGTCTTTTCTCTCTTTCAGAAGGCTGGGGTTATTTCTAGATGTCTACGTTTCCTTTGAATTTTTAATTGCCTTAACTGAGAATATATCCTTTAATTTCTTTCGGTAGAAGGCCAAGTATTGCAAAAGTACACTCATATAACTTAAACTCTCAAGCTTTCGAAGATCTATGTCTTCATCGTCTGGAGCTGGAAACAATTATTAACAATAGCAACAAATAGCAATTAGGAGAGAAATATTTACTTGCTAAGTCGGCGAGATTGTTGCTGAAATTGTTTTTTTTTTCATCTGGAATAAGAAAATCGTGCGAACTTCCATCCTATATTTGAAGTAAAATAACAATAATCGTAAAACAAAACGAATTCAATGACTAGATAGAGCGAAAAACGCGCTTTAAAATCATATATAAAGCCAATTTTAGTATAAAATGAATCATTTAAAACATAAATAACAGAAACCGCAAGAACTTTCCCCACGACCTAACAAAATTCTTCTTCTTCCAGGCAACACGGGCGAAGTGTACGCGCGCACCGGCTACCTAGGCTTCCTGCGCCGTCTCGACGACTCTGGCCCCGAACGCGGCACGGGAGCCGGTCCACTCACCGCTGACGAAACGATCCTCGTACCGTCACGTGACAGCGACGCGGAGTCGATTGGCTCGGCGCATCACGTGGCCGCTCTGCCGGCCACGCAAAGCGGAGCGGCGGGAGACGGCGGCCCGCCCGAGCTGCACGACGCCGTGTTCGTCGTTGGCGCGCTCGACGAGACTATCGTGTTGAGGGGAATGCGGTATCATCCAATCGACATCGAGAACAGTGTGTTGAGGTGTCACAAGAAGATCGCCGAGTGGTGAGTAAACATTATATTTTTAAGTATAATATATTTCTAATTAATGATATTTATTGGTGTTGGTGGTGCTATAGCATTAACACAATCAAAAAGAGGAAACTAGCCGTTCCTACGTCTTTATGGCCTCCTTGATTTTCGCAGTATTTTCTCTCCTTCAGAAAGGCTGCGGTATTTCTAGATTTATACTGTTCCGTGTCAGCTTTAGCGCTCTCCTATTGTGAGGCTATGTTTTCGTTTTGATTGGCGAGAAATTTCAGGCTGATATAAATCAAAAACATGAACACTTTGATGCAAATAGATATTTGTAACATAACCTCAAAACAGAACGCGGACACGGAACAGTAGAAAGCTATGAAAATCAAGCGGGCCATAAAAGCAGCGTCCTAGATGACCAGACTGACAGATTAATTTGTTCAGTAAGCACGTTTTCTTGTTGCAATATTGCATTATATTTTCTTCCACAGTGCCGTATTCACGTGGACCAACCTGCTGGTGGTAGTCGTAGAGCTCGACGGCAACGAGAGCGAAGCGTTAGATCTCGTCCCCTTAGTAACGAACACGGTACTAGAAGAGCACCACCTGATCGTAGGAGTGGTAGTAGTGGTGGACCCAGGGGTGGTACCGATCAATTCCAGAGGCGAAAAACAACGGATGCACCTCAGGGACGGATTCTTAGCTGACCAGTTAGACCCCATCTACGTCGCGTACAATATGTAACGTAGACCAAACGGGATGGTTAAGAGACGTGGTGTTGGAACTGATATGGTTGCGAGAAGTATGTAACGCAGAGGATAGGGCAGAATTTGTGGATGATCTTACGGTTTCGTATAGCAGGCAAGGCTCTATATCTAAGCGACCCTTAGCAGTTGAGTGGCGACCTTAAATAAGCATCTCAGTCGTTTCTTGAGGCCTCCTTGTTTTTTGCGTCCTATACGAAATTTTGCACTTATTCTAATAAACGATTTGAAAACCGAGCATTCTTGTGGGAAATTTTCCAACATGATTTTATTTCTAAAATCGCATTTGTTGGATGCCTTTTAACGTTTTTTTGACTCTGAATAAAAAAGGTCCTTTGTCACCCCCTCTAAAGTTAGCCTTCGAATTACAGGAGATTAATTAATTGTCAAAACAAAGTTCAAACCCTCCTCTCCAACACCTCGAAGAGTATTTTTCGCTCGGTTTATTTTGAAGCATTGTTTTAACTGTTACTAATGCTTCAAGGACCACGAGCATGATACGGCAAATTATTGAAGATTGATCAGAATGATAAAGAAAAAACGTTTCTGGAGCGAAAATAAATGTTTTTGTAATGTTAAAAATGATGAATAAAAATATAGTTGGAAAATTTGTCACGAGAATGGTTGATGAACAGAAACGACCAGATCTAAAAAATATTACAATTCTTACGCACTGATATGATATTGATAAGGGCTAGACGAAACCTTGTTATTGTGGCTTTTATATAACGATTTTTAATGACAAAATTTTAGGTTGAAAAATGCAGACGCAAAAGAAGTAGATTTTTTAACCGACGTTTTGATATTCGTTTTTTTTGTTGTTGAATTTTTTTTAAACAAGAACGGACTCAATCTACTTTGAAATGCAAAAAAAAAAATAATGGAGAATCCTCAATTCGTCTTGTGTCATATTATTTTCAGTTATTTTAAGATTTTGGATATTTCCGTTTGATTTTTTCTAGAAACGACTCTTTTTAGAAAAATATTCTTATCACAAAAATAATAAACATATATTTGACTATTTCTTAATCAATTTTTATATGAAACCTCAATGAATGCGTACATAATATAAATCAAAGCAGAATTTGTAAATCTTCAAAAAAAAATCGACTATCATCGTGACTTTATTTTACAAGATCTCATGAAAATCTGTGGTTTCAAAAATATAAAAATTTAACCAAGTTGCATCTCAATTACTAATTTAACGAAAAATGAGGCAACTCTCGGAAAACCAATTTGATTTCTTTCAAATTATGCTCAAGAAAAAAAAAATGTATATATGAACAATCATATGTGAGTAGATTAGCAATATTACATTCTCAGTTGTTTCCAAAATTGATATTAGTCAAAAAATTATTTACAGGGACCAATAACTTTCTACGGGGAGACTGGTTCGTAAACTAAAAATCATGTACAAGGGCTTCTTGAACGTTCGTATCTAAAATGTGGTGTTCAATTATGACAAATTTCCTTGGATCGCACATTTTCCTTGAAAATGTCAGAACGACAGAAACAACAGAAAAAAATCAAGCTACTCTTTATACTGAATACACAACTACAGTTGTACTATATAGGACAACTATAGTTGTTTGATGTAAGTCTAGATTTGGCTCAATCGTTGGTGTAATTGATGTAAAGGCCTAATACGGCTATTTGTTCATTTCGACTTGCTTCTGAGATATAGTGCAACGTAATTTCCATCTTATTTTAGTTTTATACCGAGTCGACTATTATTTTCTCAATTTACGATGTTTGTAGGGTATACTTCTTTGCCATAATATCACCTTAAACTTCGTGATCATGAGTAGGAGCAAGTGTAACCTCTTTAATAGTCACACAGATTGAAATGAAGTAGCTTTCTCTTGAGACCTCGTATTTGTGAATTGGTGACGTTTCCGTAAATTTTTGACAACAATAGGGCTGCTATACATAATTTTCAAAATGTATTTTGACGCAGGCTCTATATGACATTTTAATAACGTTCTTTTATGACGTTTTTGAAACCCCCAAAAAAATCACAGAGAAAACTTTTTGTAACTTTTACTATATGTTTTACTTTTGAAATACGCGCAAAAAAACTGAAAATTGTTTTGGAGACTGAACATTTTGGTGTTTCTCCCCAGCTCGTTTTGGGATGAACCATTATAAAGAAACGGTTTTTCCGATCCCGAAAAGTAATCAACAAAATTCAAAGCATATAACTTGGAAGTTCTTGATATTCTGTATGATTGCTTATTTTGACTTGCTATAAGTTTTTTGGGAGTTTCACAGACTCTGAATAACAGTACTCTAGTCTCATTTAAATGAATATATATTGGGCTGCTAAGTATTTTTATTTGTGAAGGTTGTGTTTCGCCCTTAGTGTTTAAAATGTCTTAGTTAATTTTTATCTCATGTTTTATACAGTTGAATTTTTAAATTATATTCTGTGTATTTATGAAAACGTTCTGACGCGGTCATTCTTCAGTAAATCTTCGCCGTAATATTTTTTGTAAATACCTAGTATTTTATTTGTTATAAGCATCAGTCCTTTTTCACACGTTATTCTCATCACGCCGAATGCTTACAAAGTGTTACATAGCATAATGGTAATTCGTGTAGAGCCCCTTTTATGTATTTTGTAGTGAAACAGGACTAAGTGCACAAAATTCTGTTTATATACAGAGTATGACAATAGCTTAATTTTGTTGTACATATAATGTAGCGTATTAAACCTAGTAACTACACATTTGAATATTCTTTTTTCTTAGTGATGTAAAAGAATAACTACGTAAATTGTGGACACAGTTGCAAATGAATAAATGTATCTTTATAAGCTAGAGATTCTTATTTTCCACCCCAACCTCCTTCCATTTGATTGTCTTCCGTTTAGCGATGATTATCCATCATCTACTTACGAGTATACAAACAATTTAATACATGGGATGCAACAGAACCTAGACTTGAGAACTTGTTTTTTGATAAAGTGGATACATCTAGTTGAATGCGCCCTGCTAACAGGTCATGGGCCCAGACCTCATCCTGTAGGAGTTTTTTTGGCAGGGCCTGAATAGCGCAAAACACGTCTTAGAGGTTAGGCGATCTCGTGTCTTTTGGAGGCAAAGCACCCATCGACCATCGCCAACGTGTTTTTTGATAAAGTGGATACATCTAGTTGAATGCGCCCTGCTACAGGTTATGGGCCCAGACCTCATCCTGTACGAGTATTTTTGGCAGTGCCTGAAATAGCGCAAAACACGTTTTTCAGGTTAGGCGATCCCATGTCCTTTGGAGGCAAAGCACCCATCGACAATCGCCAACGTGTTTTTTGATAAAGTGGAGACATCTAGTTGAATGCGCCCTGCTAACAGGTTATGGGCCCAGACCTCATCCTGTACGAGTATTTTTGACAGGGCCTGAAATAGCGCAAAACACGTTATTTGAGGTTAGGCGATCTCGTGTCTTTTGGAGTCAACTGCTGGAGGCAAAGCACCCATCGACAATCGCCAACATGTTTTTGATAAAGTGGATACATCTAGTTGAATGTGCCCTGCTAACAGGTTATGGGCCCAGACCTCATCCTGTACGAGTATTTTTGGCAGGGCGGGCCTGAAATAGCGCAAAACACGTTTTTGAGGTTACGCGATCTCGTGTCTTTTGGAGGCAACTACCGGGGGCAAAGAGCACGCATCGACAATCGCCAACGTGTTTTTTGATAAAGTGGATACATCTAGTTGAATGCGCCCTGCTAACAGAACTCAATATGTATTCTATAATGCATTTGGTTCTTACAAATATATGTCAAGTAGTGGTGTGCCTCAGGGTTCCAATTTCGGTCCCGTATTTTTTGCCTTATACGTCAACGATCATTGCAGTTCATTATCATGTAAGAAGCTTATGTTTGCTGTTGACCTGAAGCTTTACATATCTGTTTGTAGCTGACGAGATTATGAAAACCTCCATTTTTTACAAATATGGTGTATCAATAACAATTTGTATTTGAACAACTCTAATTGCCTTATCTTAGCCTTCGACCAGAAAGACAAATTTTTGACTTACCCATACAAAATGAATGATTCTGTATTCTGTTTGTTATATACAGTAGCGGACAAAATTTTTGATTACATTTTTAGTAATCCTTAAAAAGTGCGCTAATTTTTTATTCATCATATCAAGGACTATTTTTCCTCACATAGTTTTCTTACAGTCTTGAGGATACAAATGACAGTTTGTCTTTGTTGTGGTACTACAGACTAGCATTCAAATACCTTCATATTATTTTATGACCAAAAATGAGACGACAAAAGTATGGAAACATATTTTTTATTACCAAATTAAATACAATAACTCTTTTTGGCATTCAGTACTGCCCGACATCTCATCAGAAGACATCAATTTTTTACAGACGTCTGTTGAGATATACTGAGTGACATATAAATCCGAACACCCAGTTTAAATGGTTTTAAATAAAATTTTGTATAAGTACTTAATGAAGCATAATAAGTAAATGATAAAAATTTCAAAATGATTGCACTGCTTTAAAGCCCTTTGACCTTTAATAATGTGTGGATGCACCCTGATGTGCTACGCATTCTCCAACGCGCCTAGGCATCCTTCTGATCAGGTGGTCAATGTCCTCCTGTAGTATCTCATTCCAGGCAACCACCAACTCCTCTCGAAGTGCTTCTAGAGTCTGAGGAGGACGTTGCAAATTGAGCAATCTCCTACCCATCTTATCCCACACGTGCTCAATTGGGGATAAGTCGGGAGATCTTGGTGGCCATGGTAACAATGTGACATCATTATGTTGAAAGAAGTCTATTGTGACTCTTGCAACATGTGGTCGGGCATTATCTTGTTGGAAAGTTGGATCTGCCAGGGTGTCAAGATAGGGTAAAAGATGGGGTTCTAGAACTTCGTGGATATAACGCTGCGCGTTCATGTTACCTCTGATGAAGATTAAAGGTGACCTGGAACCATAAGCTATAGTACCCCAAACCATAACTCTAACAGTGTGATGAACATGTCTTTCAACAAAAAACTGTGGATTCCTCCTTTCACCACGTCGCCTTCTAACCCTGGCACGACCATCGTGCATGCCTAAACAAAATCGAGGCTCTCACTAAAGACAATACTGTTCCATTCCTGATTCCAGAGTGACCGTTGTCTGCACCACTCAAGGCGATTACGTCGGTGTTCTCGAGTTAAAGGGAGGACCCAGTGTGGCCGGCGGTATGAAAACAAGCCAAAACTTCTCATTCGTCGGTAAACACTTCTTTGCACTCTAACTGCAATTGCCCGAAAAGAAAGTCCAGCTTCCCGAAGTCCCACTATACGGCCCCTATCAAACTCACTAAGTTGACGAAATCGTACAGGTCTCCGTACTCTAGGCATCGTAACCAATCGTAAAGGATGTCAAGAACCAAAATCCGCCAACGTTGATTCTTTACTGCGGCTGAAATATTCATTTTTAGAGCGTTAGTGAATTAAAAAAAAAGCAGTATAAAAACCGGAATGTCCAACTGATAAGGCTGAAAATTTTTTTCACTTGTTATTTACAGTAAGATAAATACATTCACCAACTTTTATTAAAATAAAATCATTTAAACTGGGTGTTCGGATTTATATATCACTTAGTATATTTTGCCAAATATTTTTTACATGGTCAAATGAATGGTTTCTATTTTTTAGTTTTTCTTGTCAGTTGTTTTTAACATGCTTCCAGAGATGTTCTATAGGGTTTAGGTCCGGGGATTTCGAAGGCCATGTAAGAACATTTTTTATTCTTAACCAGTCCTTTACGAATTTTGAGGTGTGCTTGGGGTCATTACCTTGCTAGAATGTGCATCATAAAAGCATTTTTTCTTTAACAAAAGGGATCATGTGTTCGTTAAGAATGCCTTTGTAAAGTTTTTGATCCATTTTCCCAACAATTTCAACAATTGGACCCATTCCAGAACTAGAAAAACAGCCCCAAACCATGATGATGCCGTACCGTCAGATCCAAATAAGTTAAATTTGCTTTCATTGCTCCAAAAAATTGTATTTCATTGTTGTTTTGTCCAAGTCAGATTAGTTTTAGCAAATTTAAGCGAAAGCGATACGATTTTTATTTAAATGAGATGCTTTTGCACTTGACGCCTACCAAAAAGCCCAAAATTCACCAAGCGTCTCTGCACTGTTCTAACAAAGATTCTCGGCACCCTCTTCTACGATTCTTTTGAACACCCGTGTGGCTGGCATTAGAGGATCTTCATGGGACAAACGTTTAATGTAGCGATCCAAAACATAATCAGTTTTTTCGATCTACCGCACCTGGGCCGCGTTGCTGTTGACCTGTATCCTTGATATTTACTAATAATTGTCGAAATCGTCCCTTTTTATCTTTGAGAAATGTCAGCATTTCTGTCACCACTTCTAAATAATTCAATCACTTTGTCTCTTAAATCTTTTGGACATTCATTTACTTTTGCCATTCTCACTGATGTTAGTATACTAAGTGACATATAAATCCGAACACCCAGTTTAAATGGTTTTATTTTATTAAAATTTTGTATAAGTACTTAATGAAGCATAATAAGTAAATGATAAAAATTTCAAAATGATTGCACTGCTTTAAAGCCCTTTGACCTTTAATAATGTGTGGATGCACCCTGATGTGCTACGCATTCTCCAACGCGCCTAGGCATGCTTCTGATCAGGTGGTCAATGTCCTCCTGTGGTATATCATTCCAGGCAACCACCAACTCCTCTCGAAGTGCTTCTAGAGTGTGAGGAGGACGTTGCAAATTGAGCAATCTCCTACCCATCATATCCCACACGTACTCAATTGGGGATAAGTCGGGAGATCTTGATGGCCATGGTAACAATGTGACATCATTATGTTGAAAGAAGTCTATTGTGACTCTTGCAACATGTGGTCGAGCATTATCTTGTTGGAAAGTTGGATCTGCCAGGGTGTCAAGATAGGGTAAAAGATGGGGTTCTAGAACTTCGTGGATATAACGCTGGCGTTCATGTTACCTCTGATGAAGATTAAAGGTGACCTGGAACCATAAGCTATAGCGCCCCAAACCATAACTCCAACAGTGTGATGAACATGTCTTTCAACAAAAAACTGTGGATTCGTCCTTTCACCACGTCGCCTTCTAACCCTGGCACGACCATCGTGCATGCCTAAACAAAATCGAGACTCGTCACTAAAGACAATACTGTTCCACTCCTGATCCCAGAGTGACCGTTGTCTGCACCACTCAAGGCGATTACGTCGGTGTTCTCGAGTTAAAGGGAGGACCCAGTGTGGCCGGTATGAAAACAAGCCAAAACTTCTGATTCGTCGGTAAACACTTCGCATGCCAATAGGTATTCCGTGTTCTGCAAACCATTCATTTGCAATGGACCTGGTAGTGGAGAAACGGTCCCTTAAGGCCAATAATCTTAGGCGGCGATCTTCACGGTCTGTTGTTCTACGGCGGCGTCCAGTGCCTCTTGCTCTTTGCGTACGGCCTGTGCGCGAAGATGGTCCCAAAAGTGCTCACTGACGACCAGAAATTGCGGCGAGTGGAAGTGTGCCATGAAAATTTGAACATGTGTGAAAGTGACCCCCAATTTTTGAATAACGTAATCACAGGTGACGAGTCGTGGATCTTTGAGTATGATCCCGAGACAAAGAGGCAATCTTCCGAGTGGCACACGACGGCGTCTCCTCGCCCAAAAAAGGGAAGAATGAGCAAATACAAAGTGAAAACGATACTCATTGTCTTTTTTGACATCAAAGGCATCGTCCACCATGAATCTGTTCCTCCTGGACAAACCGTCAACGCCAAGTTTTACGTGGAAGTGCTCAGGAGACTCAAACGAAGGGTCAGTCGGTTTTTAAAGAATTGTAACGATTGGCTCGATAAATGTTTTTAAATCGACTCAGTCCTATTACTTTCCGGACAAACCCTGTAAATACGTCAAAACTGGAATGTTTCGATACTTTTGTCGTTACAAAAACTGTGGTATTTAAAAAACGCTTTTTTATTTCAGAGGATTTGAATATTGGTAAAATAAAACCTTGTATTACTACAGGGAGTCAAAGCAAGACTTTAATATTTATATGATCTGTTCCTGCACAATTTTAATTTAGGTACATCAAATAGTTCATAATAATGTTAATATTTGTTTCCAAACTTACTGTATTTGTGTGAACATTACATTACATAGCTATACGTAGTCGTGCCATAAGTTCTGTCCATGATAATCTCATGATAAAAAGAAACAAGA